GCGCCCCTAAACAACAATTTTATCAACTGTATCATGATCATCAAAAGTTACAAAAGCAAATCCTCTCTTTTTTCCACTCTGCCTGCCTTCCATAACTTCTATGGTTTCAATCTTGCCATACTTTTCAAAGTAGTCTCTTAAATTATATCCTTCTGTATTTTCTTTAATACCACCGACAAAAATTTTCTTCACAAAGCTCTTGCTTTGAATTTTGAAGAGTCTTCTCTACAAACAGATCTCTTTGTGGTTCCACTACATGCCCATCAACCTTGTGTGTTTGAGCACACATTGCTGCATTCACACCTCTTCAACACAGGAGTAAGTCACAAAACCCAAACTCCTATAACGTTTTGTTTGGGGGTCTCTCATCACCACACAATCTATAAGTGTGTCCCCGTTTTTCAAAGTGTTCTTTTTACTATAGAAAGAACTATATAAAATAGTTCTTTTAAACTATCCTCTGTAGTTTCAAAGCTCAAACCACCAATAAAGAGTTTTCTCAATTGCTCTGGTTCCTTTGGATCATGGCCCTCTGTTTTGAGACCAGACTTGCCTCCTCCAATTTGAGTTCAATATCATAATATTTTACAGATGAAGAAACTAGGCTCAGAGTGATTGGATAACCTGCCCCTATAATAAAAGGGAAGGCAAGCAAGAGTAATACTAGGTAGACACAACCAGCAAGTGGTAGAAGGTGTTTCTAGGTGTTTCTTTTATACGATGTTGCCTAGAAATCAGACCAAAGTTCTGCCTTCAAGAGCTTTTAACTTGGAGAAGGAGCCAAAATATATAGCATGTAGGGAGAATCATAGTATGTAGTAGAAAGCGTGAAGTGCTATAAGACTTGTCCAGATGGCAAGTTGTAGGAGTTCAGAGGAGAGTGGAAATTACTTCCAAATGGGGTTGTACCCTTTAAACGTATACAATATTGTATGTCAATTATATATCAATAAAGTTCAAAACAAATCTTTGTGAAAACTAGCATTAGGCATACTTCAGAGCTGTTGGGTGTGGAGTTGGTAGCTAGGAAGGGAAAAAAGTCATGGTGGTGAAACGGGATGGGCAGGAGCACAAAAATGAGAGTTTTTTTGGTTGGAGTGACGTTTATAAAGGAGATTTGAGGAAAATAACTTTGGAAAGAGAGATTGGGATTAAATCTTGGAGGGTCTTCGTTTTATGACCAATGAGTTGTATTCTACCTGCAGAGGGAAGCCATTAAATATTTTTGAGGTGAGAACTGACAGAAATCAGGGAAAAATGCAGGCAAAAGCCTGGGATTTAACTCTGAAAGTTGTGTCTCATTGGAAATTCAGATGAGGATTAAAAAAATGCTGTAATTGGCCTTAAAAAAAAACAAAACAGTGAAGAAAAACTAATCATCCCTATATTGTTTGAGCTCAACAATGAGATATACTTGAAATTACAGAATAATGTCAAGCTCTTGCTTGAATTTTGAAGTTAGAATTATTAGCACATATCTTACACAAATATACTTTCAACTGCCTACTTTTCCAAATGGAAAGATTTCCCTAAATATATGGGCTCTTTTTTTCATGATCATTCCCTCCTTCCCCCCACCCAGGAGAAAAAACGAATTAAATTTAAATTCTCCTTCATGACAGAAATGAAAGACTAAGGGATAAGATTTTGTCAAGCAGGATTGAGTTTGGGAGGGCCAAGAGCCATTGTGATATCAAATATTTTTTTCACCCCCTGAGAACCAATTTCTGTCCTCTAGGGCACAATATTGCCCCCATTGGGAATGCATGATGTAGACCTAAGCTTGCTTTGGCATACTATTTTTTTTTAAGATTTTATTTATTTATTCGAGAGAGAGCAAGCAAGCGAATGAGAGAGCACAAGCAGGGGAGGGGCAGAGGGAGAGGGAGAAACAGACTCCCCATTGGGCAGGGCTCCTGATGCGGGGCTTGATCGCAGGACCCTGAGATCATGACCTGAGCCGAAGGCAAACGCTCAACCAACTGAGACACCCAGGCACCCCTGCTATTTTGATAGACACAGTGGAAACTCTAATGTCTGGTGAGGTCTGTGTCATAGAAAGGGAGGACAGATACAGCCTCCAAGCCCAGTAGGCTGACAATCGAGAGATGCCACCTGGGAGGTTGGATGCAGAGATCACACAGAAAACCTAGCAACTATCAGGAAGGACAATCTTGTCAGAGTATCATGGTCAGTAACATGTTGGTTGATCATATTTCCTTCTAGCTACCAGTTCTTCCTATAAAATAATTTTTATTATTATTATTTTTTTACTATACATTCTGCCAGGTGATGGCAGTAGAAAAGTCAAGAGAATGCTCTATGTAGAGCACACAAAACAAAACATGCAGGTGATCATCAATATAATGTACTTCTGAAGCCTTGGGATTAGTTTCTCCAACCTCCCTCACTCATAATGGTGATATTCCTTTATGTGATAGCTGTGAAAATATTCATTTTATCCAACTAGATAGACATTGTTTGGAGAAACCTCAATTACAATGATTTAAAAATATAATCATCAACAATTTAAAAGATTAGAGTGGTTGAGTATATAGTTTTTAAAAAAATTGTTTGTTGGATGTGTCTATCGCTTGAAGAATGTCCCGTGTCTTTATGCCCAATGAACAACCTTCCAGAAATTCTACCACAATGCCTTCCTTTCCATTGATGAGTATGAGGGTGCTGCTTCTAGGCTGGTTTTCTACAGAGCTCAAAATGCAATGGTCCTTGTGGGGGAAATGAATGGGGATGGTGTTTTACAAAGAAAAAAGAAATGAACACCTTTCCTCCCCTTTTACCACCCTTGAATATGTGAGGAAAAAAAAAAAAAAAAGCCTAGTTTTATTGTGTTGTTATTTGTAGTTTCCCAGGAGCAAAAAAGTATTGTTTAACTTGAGGAGTCTATTTTTTTTACTGGAATAACAAGATGTCACTGGGAGAACATTACTTTATTGAAAAGTGTTTTTTTGTTTGTTTGTTTTGTTTTGTTTTTTTTGAGTCTGATCAGGCTAAGGAAATAGCAATATTTAAGAACAGCTATAGAGGATCATTAAGGGATTGTCTGATGTTTCTGCCAGTTCTGCTGATAACCTGTGGGCTGCTTTATTATTTAAACCTCTATATGCTTGAAGGCTCCTTTTTCTGACATTGAGGCAACTCTTCCTAAACCACCCGAATACAAAAAGGATTTTTTAGGTGACTGTGGAGTCTTCCCTGCCAGTTCTCATGCAAAAACAGCACCTTGATTCATCCTGGGCCAGACAGGCTCCTTGCGTCTTTTAGGAGACAGACTCTTTTGAATTGGAGAGAGTAAAGCTCCGTGGTGATATCTACTCTCCAGTAGGCTCTGAGCACTAAAGGCTCCAGCCACGCATGGCCTTATTGGGAGCTGTGAAGTCTCAAGGATGCTGCATATATTCCTATGACCAGGTTCTAGAATAGCAGCTGTGACCCACACAGCCCATGGAATGAGAGAAATTCTGGGCTTAGCTCCAAACTTTCTATGTTGTAAACTCTCTTCAGTTTTTCCTATAAGTCATGGTCTTTATGGCCAATGCATTTGTTTTGTTTTTGGTGTGTGTGTGTGTGTGTGTGTGTGTGTTTTGCATAGTTTTGAAGCTCAGAGGGCATTGCAAAAACTCTCTATAATCAAACAATATTTATTAAGAAAAATCTTTCCATGGGTGTTTTACCAGGTGGTCCACAAAGAGAATTATATAGGCACACCCATAATTTGGAGGGGTCTATGGAATCATTCAGGCAGTCCTTGACAGGCAAATGTTAATATAAAAACAACCAGACTGATACTCAGTCAGTCTGTCTGGGGGTGACCATACTGGTCACTTTATTGCTGCTTTCTTTCCCGACAGTCGTTATCTGTGCTGTATCTGTTGCTCGATATTTTAGTTCCCTTCCCTGAAACATATACATTATCTGGTATCTATGTCGTATCTGTTTTGAAGTGCATTTAGTAGCGCTTGGATGATGTGCCTAGTACTTTAAAAACACCAGCTTTGTAGAGCTAAATTTTCACTAACAAGCTCTTCTCTCCTTAGTCCAAAAGCAACATAATATAGAACAGAGAGCAGGACCAAGAGTCAGAAATGCTGGCTCTGCCAAGCAGGTGGCATGTGGAACTCACCAGGCTCTAGAACTGGGTTGCTGGCTCCAGGCACGGCTCTGCATTTCGCTAGCGCATGGCCTGGGGCAGCTACTTGCTGTAAGATGGGATACAGATAACGACTACCCCACAGGTCGAATGAGTCAACTTACATAAAGAACTTAGAAGAGTGTCTGGCTTGACAGTAAGTGCTCTATGAAGATCTGTGATATGGCTTTCATCCTGGCTTTTTCACAGAGGAGCAAGAGGGGGAACCTCTCTGCGTGTCAGTCTCATATGAACAACGGACTAAGTTCTCTGAAACCATGGAGCTTTATTGTTTGTTTCTAAGTAAGTCACCTTGCAAACACCTAGAAGTCACTCAGAGTAAGGGATCATATAATTTATCATCAAAACAGGACAGTTTTCGGCTTGAATGGAGATGCTATTAATAATTAAGATCTCTGGGGACGCCTGGGTGGCTCAGTCGGTGAAGCATCTGCCTTTGGCTCTGGTCATGATCCCGGGGTCCTGGGATCGAGCCCCGCATCGGGCTCCTTGCGCAGCGGGGAGCCTGCTTCTCCCTCTGCCCCTCCCCCACGGCTTGTGCTCTCTTTCTCTCTGTTTCTCTCTGTCAAATAAATAAATAAAATCTTAAAAAAAATTGATTAAGATCTCTGGGATACCGGGCATCAGCCAGGCCAGTGTGTTGGATCCACATACAGCAGGTAATGCTGTGAGCCATTCGTAGACTAGAGATGGGGATTCTGTCTTTGGAAATTCAAGGAGGTGGGTATATTGTTTCAAAGTATAAGGGTGGCATTTAAATGGCACACAACTGAAACAACAATTTCCGAAGTGTGCCCTACTGCTCCGTCTCACACTTTTTGCAAAGTCGCCCTTCATTTTTTCCTGTGTCACAGGCAGAAGAGGGATCAATATCACTAAAGAAACAGACTTGGATAGACGTTAAGTTATGTGGATTTTTATTTCTGCTGAGTTTTCTGCTATAAAGCTACCTCCACTATCCCGAGAGAAGCAGTTTTCCCCATTACTGATGGAAAGTTAAGTCTCCTCATAAGGAGGATTTCCCTTCCAGAAATCCAAAACGAGAAAAAGTATCAGACAAGGCGATTTTGTGCCAGTGAACAGCCCTTTCCAAAGATTTGAACGGAATAATTTGTTTTTCATGGTTTATAAGTAGCAGATAAAACCTACATGGAAAAATGGACAAGAAGCAATGGAAAATAAGACACAGTATCTGGAATCGTAACTTTAAAAAGCAATTTGTTTTATTTCAGCCATGCCCAGAAATCACTTGAGGTTAACAAGTGAGTATTTCTATTGGAAGAATCAGCTACAATTAGGTCACCAACTTAGAGAAGATGTAGGCGGAAGTTTAAGTACCCAGTCTATCATTATAAAGGTACTTTATCAGCAAAACCGTCAGTCACGGATTGTTGACTTAAAATGATTAAGAGGGTAAAATATCAAAGAGGAAGATGAAGAGTTTGTGGAAAGACCCCTGTTAAGATCAGGAGCAGCTGAGGGTCTCAATATGAGAAAGTTGTGCATTCCTTGGGGAGCAGGTTTTGAGTTCCTTGACTTCGACATCAATCTGATGTGAAACAATAGAAACTCGCCTCCTCTTGCAGTCCTTGCTCTGGATACACAAGCCCAGTCCACACACTTAATCTGGTGGTGACAAACGACAAATGTGTTATTGTTTAGGATGATGGAGACATGGTAATACTCTTCTGATTTCCCACTGAAAGGTGGATGTGAAAATCTCTAACAGTACTATTCAAACTTCTCATTAAACAATCAACAACAAACAAGTAAAAATCTGGAGCCCTTGGACCTGGCATCCATGGATAGATTCTGTGTGAATCATCTTAGCTCACCTGGGAATGGATTATTTTTTTTCCCTAGAAGTGTATTTGAGAATCTGAAAAGATTTCATTGTTAGTTTGGCGTCTCACATTACATTACTGACGGGTTTAATAATGACTAGATTTGACAAATCTTTGGATCCATATGAGCCATGGAATTCAGAAGAACATTATTTCCTGCTATATTAATAACTGATTTTTTTGCAGTGGATTTTACTTGGTAACTCATTTGATCCATTTGGTTTGATCATTTAGGTATTTCAAGCTACCAAATAGGGCCTTAAGTTTCACAATGGCTGATTCTATTTCCTTAGCAACCAAATGGTTCCGAGACCTGTTTTTTTGGTATCTGTACGTCATTGCCATTAGCACAGTGGGAACCCCCCTCTCAAACTTTTCTACTGCTTGAACAAAAGCCTGAAAGGATGGGTCTGAGAACAGCTGCTGAACACATAGCTGTAATATGAGGCTGAAATGTTCATTGCCAGCAGTTAGCTGGGTGCATTCATTAGTATGTGTCCATGCTGAAGACAGCCATGCAGACAGAAGGTGCTTCGTTTTATCCAGCAACCATTCAGTGCCTTGTTCCATTTCCTTTACCACATGCATATTCGTGTTTATCTTCTTGAATCACTAAAACTATAAAACACTGTCCTTTTTCCTATCAAAGATTCAAAAAATATCTTTTGCCACGTTTTAGGTATAGAGAATTCTTTTCAGGACCGACTTTTAAATCCAGTGTTCTCATGGAACTACATTGATATCAGATGTTAGGATGAAGGAAGCTTACTATTGATGGAAGTGTAGCTCTTACGAGGGTCCGAGGTCATCCCAAGGCTCAGTTATAAAATCAGAATATACTAGTGTTTTTGTGTGTGTGTGTGTGTGTGAGAGAGAGAGAGAGAGAGAGAGAGAGACTGGGTTGTGAAAGCTACCATCCACTAGACTCTTAGCCTCATTGTCAAGTTGTCAAGTTTTGCTTCTTTATGACTAAAAGAATCTAACTCGTGGAAAAAAATTGGTAATATCTCCATTTTTAAAAATATGACATGAATTCAGAGAAGTTAAGTCCTCTCCCAAGATCTTACAGTCAAGAGGTGGTAGAGCTAAAATTTGAAGACTGGTTGGCCTGTTGCCAAAGTCTAGTACACTTTATGCCGTTTCCCAAGGAACGTTCTCTTCAGGAACATTCTAAACACCTGTTTCTGTGTCCTTTGCAGTTCTTTCTCCCAGCTCACAGATGTCAGGGTGCAAATGGAGAAGGTGCTAATTGTAGATGTTGTCAACCAGCAAGTGAATGAGTTAGAATTTTTGGAGGATTAAGCCCTTATTGGACACCCAAATCACACCTTACGCATAGGTCTTTTCTCTTAATATGGCTTCTAGAAAGGTTAAGTATTAGAAGCTCTAGTGATGGTGTGAATCATAGGAAGTGCTCAGCTAAAATACTGAATGAGTCATTCTTTCCAGAAACATTGGCATTTATTTCTTTAAAACTCTTGATAGAATTTTATAGATGGGGTAGAATAAAAGTTACTTAAAATTTACTACTACTACTAAATACTAAAATAAATGTACTACTATTAATAATGAATAGCTTTCATTTTTTGACAAGCTGTTATCAACATGTTGAATTATTTGCTTATCAAAACATCCGATAGCATGCCACATGCCTTCTGGGTATAAAATAAATGCTCAGTACAATAAATGCAGTCGTACATAATCTTTTAACTGTCTGATCTCACTCACACAATCTGTGTTGTGTTCTGGGTCCACAACAAACCTGGTTCTTGGATAGCTAGCAGGTTTTAGAACCTGGATAGAGGTGGGATACATAGAACCTAGCCTGCAGCTGGATGTGGGGGTGAAGGGTGGTGTCATCAAAGTCAGTTCTGAAGGTTTAACCCTGGCGACTAAGGGCCTGGTGGTGCCATTGCCAGAAAGACGAAAGGTGGAAAGTCTGAGAAAAGATGGTAAATTCAATATAAGACACATTTGCCCTGAGGTTTCTTGAGGTGATGTCCTGATGGATGTGTTCAGGAGCCAGTTGAAGACCCGTCACAGCTCTGAGATGGGCTTGCCTGGAAGGCTAGCATTGCCCATCATTGGCCTACAGTGTTCGAGGCAGGAGTATGGAGATTCCCGAAGGAGAAAAGGTGGACCAGAAAGAGAAGAGAGTCTAAAACAGTGTCTAGGACTCATCTGGGGTAAGGGAGAGGGAAGAATAGCAGAAAAGGAATTGTGAAAAGAGTAGAAATAATGAGACAAGAAATCACCACAGTGTGAGAAAACAGGGCCAAGGGATGGGATGATTTTTTTTCTTTTTTCAAAAGATGAGATGGCCTAGACTACTGGTCCTAGAGGAGCAAATAAGTTAGCTCAATCACGCTAACTGTGCACCAGAGTGTCCCAATGAGGGCAGAAAGAAGGGAGGAAAGTGCGAAGAATCCCAGAGTTACACACAGTCTGCCACATAGCTTATCTGTGGAGGAGACCGTCACAGTGGCTACAACTCTTTGGTGTGCTGTGGAGGAGAAATGGTTTGTAACCCACTATTCCAAAGGAAGTGGGGGCAACAGGAAGAGGAGAAGGAATTTCTGAGTGAACAAGAAAGGCATTTTAAGACAAGAGACATGGCTGGTGGAATGAGACCAAGAGCAGAGGAGAACTGAGAAGGAAGAGGGATGGATGAAGAGCTGACATAGCAGGTTCCAGAGGAAGCAGGAGGCTTTGAGTGGGGAGCACATTACTTGCCGCATCTCTGGAAAGGGGTGGAACAAATACAATATTTCTCAGACAGAAGGCACATAAGGGCACAGCTAGACGGTATCTCAGGAAGAAGTGAACACGTGCTTTCCTTAGTACTCACTACTCTTCTCAAGAATACAAGGGTGGAGGGTCTTCCCAGAGGAGAAGCTATCTGGGAACAGCTCCTAAAGATAGAGCTTGATAGGGTGTTTTGGATGGATAAATTGAGCATTGAATGCAGAGGTTAGAATAAAATAATTTGTGTCAAAGTGGTTTTGTGATTCCAACAATACTTAGAATACTGAGAATAAAAGCAGAGAAAGTAAGTTGCAGGGTGTGTACAAGGGAAGTGACTTGCGGCAGTCGTTCTGTGTGACCCAGTAGTGACAGCAAGGAACTTGGAACTCAGCTGAAAGGCAGAGGGTATTTCATATGAATATGAGGTCAAAAGCCGTTTATTTCCCCATGGCCCCATCACAGTGCCTTGCCATAGGGTTGATGTGGGTGGGGAGTTACAGGCTATTGGTATGATGGAGTCTAGGGTCAGGCCCATTATGGCGGGAAGATTATCAAGGGTCCTTGCCTGAGAGGAGAGGTGGCCAGAGGCATCTGGGGTCACCATGAAGGTGGCAAGTACAGTCAGTAGGGGTGAGGATGGTAGACTGAAAGGAGTAAAAGCTGTGAATGGAGGAACATTCCAGAATGTGAGATCGTGGAGATGGTACGATTTTCACTTGGAAAGCCAGCAGCCTATGGCGAGCATTAAAACACTTCAAGGCCAATGGTGCTTCACCCCCATCCTGATTCCCTTCTCCAAAGGTCGCGTTTCTCTAAACACATTTAGAGAAATGTGTTTGGTGGTCTCTCTGAGATACAACAGTTTTAACCAGACTCTTTACACTGAAAATTTATGTCTTTGGATGCTGCCCACTGTTTCACTTTCTAGCCCCCTCCAGGTTAACTTTAACGCTCTTGCCCAGCCACGTGTCACAGATGTTTTCTCAGCCATGAAAGTTGAAAGGTCAAGATTCAGCATCATTCACAAAGATTTCGGTGTGTGGAGGAGGTTCCAAAATCAAGGCCAGGAATTACTAATTCCACAAGATGGGGCAGGAGGTGATGTGGGAGAAACAGCAAATGAGTCATGGTCCCTAGAGTGTCCCCCGAATATTCCCGTCTACCTGGAATCTCAGAATATGACCTATTTGGAAAGAAGGTCTTTGTGGACGTGATTAGTTTGAGTCGTACCGGATTAAGGTGGGCTCTGAATCTAATGACTGTGTCTTCGTAAGAAGACACACAGAGACACAGGGAGAGTGTCATGGGAAGACAGGGACAGAGCTTGGGGTGCTGCAGCTACAATCCACGGGGTATCAAGGGTTGCCAGGAGCCACCAGAAGCAAGGAGGGATTCTTCCCTAGAGCCTCAAATGGGGGCGTGACCCTACCAACACTTTGGTTGTGGACTTCCAGCCTCTAGAACTGACACAACACATTTCTGCTGTTTTAAACCATCCCGTTTGTGGAAATTTGTTACAGCAACCCTAGGAAACCAATACAGTCTTCTGACCCTGATGACTAAGCTTTTCACTGCCCAGCTGGAAGCTTCTCCCAGAAGGCCATGTTGCCCCTGGAGCCTGTCCCGATGTAACCGGAGTGATTTAGTCTCGGGAAGCCTCGTCCCAGAAGGCTCCATGCCCAGGTCAATGTATTTCTTCGGCCCGCCCTTGTCATTACCACGTTCTGACTTACATCTTTGCTCCTTTGAACTTCAATCAATGGCCGCCCCAGGGACGTTGTTTTGACTACGCCGACGTTTTCTAAACTCCCCACTGTGTGGTTTCCAGGTCAGACAGTCAGGCTTTGTTCTGTGACTCACCGCCCAAAGAGTCAATTAAATCTCGCTCGGCTGCCTTGTGGCCTGGCTTCAGTGGCTTAGTGAGAACAGGGGCATTTAGAGAGTTCCTGAGGAAAGCCAGACGTGATGGGGGGGGAGGACCCAGTGCTGACACAGGGCAGGGGACACAGATTAGGGAGCTCAGGACGGTGGTGACAA